TTTTTTTTTCATGATTGAGGTGGTGTAATGACCACCTTTAAAAAAAAAATCAAACGACAAGTTAGCATATATGATCCGTAGTTCGAAAGTATTTATAAAATTACAGTTCTTACCACGCTAATCTTTTGTTAATGTATATTATAAATAGATCGTGACGAAAATGGTATTTTGGACGATATTATCTAGTTTAGGAGGTCCTTTCGAAAAATTAGATTTATAATTGATCAATGAGTGAAATTACGTCTATTATATGGGTTACTATTTTTGTAACATTGTTTTTGCTTTCATGATTGCGTTTATAGTTACTATTTTATTGGCTCTAGATTTATGGCTCCGTTTATTTTGCTGATTCGAGTTTAGTTCGAGTTGAGATGCGACTTTATATGAGAGTTTTCTACTGTAACAAAAAAGTTAAATGTGATTATTTGTGAGAGTTTTTTACTGTAACAAAACTCAAATTATAAACTCGAATCAGCGAAGTGAACGGGACTATATAACTAGCGCAAAAGTTGATTATGATGCCAACTGTTGAAGTGTAGAATGAACCCTCGAGTGAACATGGAGTTTCATACTCACCAAAATCTCTTGTCTCTATTTTTTTTTAATCTTTTTTATTTACCATAGTACGATTAAAAAACTGTCAATCACAAACTAAGGTGATTGGATCAATACGAGATTTGATTATATTGTTGATATCCCTTTACAACTAGAAGTATGTTTCTCAAACCGAAAGTTCCATACGCAGGTCGACAGGTACAACTAATTTAAATCATTAGAGCCGCTCTTTTCTAAGCACAAGAATCTCAGAACGAGATTTCGGCTTTTCACATGTGATTGAGACGTCCTTTACTTTTGCTTACTGATTGGGCTTACTACCTCGGCATATAGGCAGCATGGCCTATATATGATGACTGACTGACACAACTAAAGCACCTCTGTTTGCATCGGGGCTAAAATATCGCTGCTCACATGAGATGAATTTCGTTAAATGAAAGAATATTTGATATGAAGATTCATATCATGATTTGAATTACAGTTTGTGATTCATTATAATATTTTTTTTTTAAAAAAACACACACAAATCAAAAGAGTAAATATGACCCACCATTTTGTGAGTATGAATTTTATCCAATCTAGATAAATATCATATCACTATATAACAATCTGCAAAAAGATCTTGTCATGTTCTCACCAACCAAAAAAAAAAATCTTGTGATTGATCACAAGATCATTTCTAAATTTTTCAACTTTTTTTTTCACTTTGCCAAATTTTTTTAAGGTTTTTTTTTTTTTTTTTTTTTTTTTTTTTTTTTAAAGAAAAGGAGTGGCATATATTTCGTGGAATTGTTTCGAGTCCGACACATCAGGCATGTGTAATTTTTTTTTGTATGTCTTTGCAACATTATTTGTATCTTCGAATAGCACTCAGTATGCTTTAGTATGATATTCAATAATATAGTTCAATACATGTAATATTGAGTGTCACACTTAATTAGTAAATTAAATATTACATTCACGTACGAATAATGTTACGCAAACATGCAATGAAATTTACATTTATTGGTCTGTACAGCCTCCAAATTTAAGAATCTGTCTATATTTCCATTATATGTTGTGTACCATGTGTGTATAACTCTTATCTGTCTGTTTTACTTGATTACATAAAATAATATCTCTCGAAAAAACTATCATTCTAACCACTCCACCTATTAGCACGATTCTTATTAGTTTGCTAAACATGTTAGTAGTTTTCTGTTCTGCTAAATATTATTATAGTCGCTTCTAGAAGTTTAATTCCTAGACATCTGGATTAAGCTGTAATTATGATGTAAACCATTAGTTTTATCTCTTTTTGTCCCTCCAAACTCTACTCTTTTTTTTTTCCAAGTATATAAACAACTTTTGTTAAGGGCGTCAATGTATGTCAGTAGAAAGAAAAAAAAAAATAGTGTTCCTTAATTCAGTGTAGCCAAAATTACATTTGGTTGATATCTACAGACTACATGCAATGCACCAAACATTACATATTGTTCAATTTGTCATGTCAATTTGACACCTTAAGAATGACAAATATCCTATAATTAATTCCCCATAATAATTACCTAAAACGAAGTCAAACAATAAAGGGACACATCTCATGCGTGCCGTACATGCAAAGAAGGGATGGGCTCACACGCTGAGATCTACTTAGATGCCCCAAACAATAAGCACAAAATCTTCATGCCTCACTTTTTTTTTTATGTCCTTTTTTTTGGTCATCTTATTTTTCTCTTCAGTACAAAAAAAAAAAAAAAAAAGGTTCAAACATTCCAATTTGACCATTCAGAAGTACCTTTTCATTCTGCTATTTTTCTTCCCCCAATTCACTGCAAGAAACACGAAGAGCCTAACCTTTATCAAACGACAGAAAAAAAAAAAAACAGTGTAAAAAAAAAAAAAAGGTTAAAACATTCCAATTTGACCATTTAGATGTCCCTTTCATTCTGCTATTTTTCTTCCCCCAATTCACTGCAAGAAACGCGAAGAGCCTAACCTTTATCAAACGACAGAAAAAAAACAGATTTTGTAGGCTGCAAACAAAATCCTAGTGGGCTACCACTTCCCTGTAGACTTTCACCTAAATTAGTCAAGAAACAGTGACCCTCCTCGTGAAATTTCACACTGCGGATTTTCGATAAAATAAAGGGTTCAATTTTGGAAAACGTTCCCAAGTTTTGTCATTTTTTTCACCGTATTTCCTCATACTTTTAAAAGTCTGCAAATTAAATCCTTCCGTCCATAGTTTGGTGATCAATGTTTATTGAGGCTTATTATTCGTCCGTTTTGTTTTTTCAAATTAAGAATTTAAATTAAAATGTAAATTTATATATAAAATAAGCACTGTAATGAAAAAAGACATTATAATAAAAATTTAAGATATAATTCGAATGAGTAAAGTTGAAAAAATAACTAAGGTTGACTTTTATGGGAAAATTGGACAGAAGTACTAAAGTGGAAATCTTGAGAGCTGGAAGGCATTTTAAATTTCAGGAACAAGGTTAAAACCTCAAAAAAAAAAAAAAAAAAAAGAGCCTCGTTGCCACATCATATGAGTTGGCCATCCATTTTTGGGACAATGTGGGGTCCATTATGGGGTGGTCGGACATGCCCTTTTGGAGGGCTGCCTTTCTGATAATAAACCTAATCAAATTGTTGGTAATTGGTAATTACAAAGAGCAACTACTTCTGTGTCAGAACAGAAACATCAATTATTCAAGACGCAATGAAGAAGGAGCAGTGGCATTGGCAGTTGTTTGGTCAACCGTAATGTTAGTTTTGTTACTGAATTTAGTAGCTGCGCACATTTTCTTTTTACTTCACATGCATCATGTGAAACTCTGAAATGTCTCTGCCACAATTCTTCCCCTCGCATTAATCACTAGCATTCTTGTTTATTATTATTACTAGCATCAAAGTCGTGACTAAGGCACGTCCCTGACTGAAAATTTCTTTTCTTTTTTCTTTTTATTTTACTTTTTGAAAAAAAAAGTTATCTGATGTTATAAATATGATTGGGAATGTTTTAAAACAAGAAGCTATTTTCTTAATTTTTTCATGAAAATATTTAAAGTAAACACAATAATTCAACTTATAGATTGAGTTGAACTTGAACATAAATAGCTTTTACATTTCCAAGCTCAGAGGTGCAGACATGAATAAATATGACCAACTTCCATGGACGAAAATATATATAAAAAACCTTATATTATGATCTCGTTCGCTTTGCAGATTCGAGTTTTCAATTCGAATTAAGACGTGACATTTTACGAGAGCTTTTAACTATAATAGAAAAAAAATTAGATGTGACATTTTTTAAGAGTTTTTATCTATAGAAACCTAAAACTAAAAAGTCGAATCGGTGAAATGAATAATGCCTATATATACATAATGATTGTTGAACAAAAAAAGTGTCTGAAGACAATTTATTTATAATGTCAATATATAGACTAAAGTATATAGAGAATAACAAGTTGAAATATTATTTATGAATGTAAAAATAAATAAATAAAACTGTGATTCAATCATCATTTTATTGTTTCAATATGATAGACAGTCTGTTTGGAAGAGCTTTCTAAAAGTAGTTTTTAGAATAGTCTGTGTTTGTGCTTTTAAGTAGTAGAAGAAGATAAACATAAGTTGAGGTTTTTTAATTAGTGTTTGGATAGTGCCTTAAAAAGTGATTTTATATTTAAGAAGAGCTTTTAAACCTGTTTGAGTAAAAAAATCAAAAGCACTTATTGTTATAAAAAGTAATGTAATAAAATGATATGAATGAGATATTTAATTTGTTGTTCACAACAAATAAAAAGTTAAAAATTTAAATAAAAAAACTTTTCATAAGCACTTTTTTATAAGTACTAAGAAGATAATTTATTTTAAACGTGCTTAAAAAAATTAAAAACACTTTAAAATTTTAAGTCAATCCAAACATACCCTTTAAGTTTCTTTATCTAAAAATTACTTTTAAAAATGTTTAAAAAATATATGACAGAAATACTTTGATTTTTCAGAACAAAATGGTACTTCAAAAAAAAAAAGCACTTTTACATAAGCATTAAAAGTTGCACCAGAATTTTATTATTATAAACTTAATTTCTACACTTTTATTGCTTATTAAAAAATTTAAAAATGATTTTAACCCATTAAATTATTTTATCAATAGTAAATAAAATATTTACACAATAAAATACTATTTACTTTAAATAATTTTAAAATATGCTATTTATTTAATTTAGTTTAAAAAATTTGCAATTTACTACCATTTCCGTTTTATTTGCGCTCAATATTCCACAAAATGGGCCAGAAAGGCCATTGATTGTCCGTCCATAAACAGTCTTAACAGAAGCAGGCTCAGTCCCTCTCAGAATTCTAGTCGGGCCGAAACCGGAAGTCCAGAAATCAAAGAAAAAACGACATCTATCCCTCAGCCGAAGAAACACGACGTCGTTTTTGTCATATCCGTTTACAATATCCAAACCAACCAGGCGAAAACCCAGACTCTCTCTAGAGAGACACAGAGATAGAAACTCGGAAGCTTTCTTCTCCTCCAAAAATGGCGTCCGGTAATGCCACTATTCTCTCGAAGCTTCCCAAAACGACAACAATTTCGCAACCCAATTGCCGAAGAAAACCCGAAACCCGTTCTTCTTCACCTTCGACTCTAACTCTGAGAACCAGAAGCTTACAGACCCCATGGCTAGGCACGAACAATCTCTCAACGATTCTTAGGCCCCACCACAAGAAAGTCCGTCTCGTCGCCGCCACAGTCTCTTTCAGCCTCCCCACGGCGTAGTTTTCTTCCCAAACATTTCTTTTATTGAAGTTTTGTTTTTATTTATTTTTGTCCCATTTTAGATGAGACATGGTATTGTTTCAGATACTTCTGATTTGGAACTTTGCAGAAAACCAGAGACGGGTTCTTCCGTTGAGAAAATACCCAAGTGAGTTCTTTTTTTGGTTGGGATTTTGGTTTTGGTTTCTGCGTTTTGTTTGGATTGGTTAAAAAGTTTTAATTTAGTTTTCTGATTGGGCATTTTTGGGAGCAGGTGGTCATGGAGGGCAATAAAGTCATTTTGCATGGCTGAACTGGAAGCTAGGAAGCTCAAGTACCCAACTACTGGGACTGAAGCCCTTCCCATGGGAATCCTCGTTGAGGGTTAGCAGCTAACCTTATTTATTTATTTATTTTTATGTCACATTTTTTGTTTAAGAATACATACATACATATATATATATATATATGTATGTATGTATGTATATATTACATATATATTTCAATCCCAATGACTTTGTCAGGAATTCTTTTGGCCATTTCAAACTACTCCTTTAGAGCTGCTATTATAAAGTCGAGAAGAAATCAAGTCCATGCTTAAAGTCTAGATTTTAGATTTTTACTTTTTACTAATGTTTAGCTAAAAGTTCACTACCTAGTTGATGATGAATGAAAGTTTTACATTTTTGATATTTGTACACAATTTTTGCTGCATAAATATAAACCATTTCCGACTCGTGTAGCTCGAAATGATTTAGTAGGAGGAAGGTCTACCTTCATTAATCCTTAAGTTACTCAAGTTACATTTAGCATTGAGACCATAAGGCCTTATTTGGTAGGAGAAAAAAGTAGAAGGATAGATAGGGTGGGTGGATTAGAATAGATATTGGAACTTGTGAATTGTGATTATTTGGTAGGAAGGATTAGAAGAGGGCGGTTCAATTGAGGAACTTATTATCATCTATGTGACGACGATTTTGATCCCTCAAGCTTGGAGGATTGGAGGTGGTAATCCATACCAAACACAATAAAGGAAAAATTCTTTCTGGCTTCTCTCTATTCTCCTCGCCTAGGTTATTTACCTAAGCCTCCTACCAGACACAACCTAAAGGTATTTCTGCACAGAAAAGAGAGAAGTCAGATATTTGTGTTCTAAGTTGAAAACTATTGCAACCGAAATCTTGCAGTTATTATCATAATGCAGGACTTAGATGGTAGATGTACGTGTCCTAAAGCTTCCATTATGTTTTCAGATTCCCTCTAGGAGTTGTTTTTTGTGCTGTAACTCATTGAGTCGGTACTATTTGTTCGTCAGACTGAATAATTAATTACATTTTGGATTCAGGTACTAGTTTGGCGGCAAAGTTTTTGCGAGCAAATGGAATAACACTTTTAAAGGTGCGTGAGGAGACTATTAAGTTACTTGGGAAGGCTGACATGTACTTTTTCAGTGCCGAGCATCCTCCTTTGACCGAAGATGCTCAAAGAGTACTTGATTGGGCTATTGATAAAAAAATAAAATCTGGTAAGTTTCAATCGTCATCTTCTTGGAATTATTTTGGTTGGTTTGAATCCCTATACACAAAAAAAAAAAAAAAAAAGGTTTTCTCTTACATGTTGAATCTGAGTTCATTCCTTTTTAGGTTCTGCATGCGTTTTAATAAATGGTTTTCCATTACAACTTTAATCTAATAAAAGGTGTCTACACTGAGACGATCTCCAAACTATCTGAACTTTTTCATGTTGATTTTTCCCATTCTGAAAAAAGAGCAGATCACACTTTTGGATCTTCACATTTCTCACATCCTCTGGCATCAATCTCATTTTTTCGTATTGGTGGATTTAAAAGCATTGCATGCATTCATATTTCCTTTGGCGTATTTGAATAAGTGTTCTTCTGTATGCTGAAATCCTTTCTTGTTGATTCGTTGGTCTTTAATTCTAGGTGATAGTGGAGAAATTACAACTTCTTATCTGCTTCTTGGCATTTGGTCGGAAGTCAATTCCCCCGGCCACAAGATAATGGCTACCCTTGGATTCAATGATGAGAAAGCCAAGGAGCTGGAGTCTTTATGTTCTGAACCAGGATTTGATGATGATTAATGCTGAGATATAATTTTCCTTTTGATCTGTGATGTTATTTTCTTGGTTGAAGGTGGATCAAAAGATTTTCTGCTGAGATTTTAATTTGGTGTACAAGTTAATCAAGTCGTGTACCCCCCAAAGTCTGTTTCAGAATTCCCCAAACTGGTGCAAATTCTTTATGTGATTATGAATTTTTGTTAAATTCTTGAGTTTTCATTCATTTTATGGTACAATATGCATATATTTCACAATGTGAGTGATAAGCCTCCTATATGTTATACGTATGCTCGAAGGAAGTACAAGCACCTCCACGTGGCAAATCCGGAAGCTGAGGGAGGAATTGAAGAAGGAGGTGCTGGACGAGTGCATGTGGCTGAGTCAGCAATTGGTTAGTTGTTAGTTACTCCTAGGAAAGGGTGAGAGAATAAGAGATAGTACTATAAATAGAACACAGGGTAGAATAAGTGGGGGATCTGAATTCTATTGTAACTTCCGTAAGGAGTGAGAGTTGGAGAGCAAGGGATCTCTCGAATATCCTCATATACGTTTTGTATTCGACTTCCGCCATTAATCAAACAAGCTTTCTGCCAGTAAACTACTGTTTCCTACTATAATTCTCTGTTCTGTGACTTGGAGCATAACATTTGGTATAAGAGCACTTTCCTGATGACGAGGAGGACCGACGATCGTGATAAGGAGAGATCGGAGGGTACGAGGGAAGAATTCGCTAGGGATTGGAGGAGGTTTGAGAGGAATTGAAGAAGATTCCTCAGCTGGAGCAGGGAATGGACTTGTTAACAAGAATGGAGGAATTGATGACTCTGCAACATCAAGAACGACAGGACCACCAGGCGACCGGAAGGGGCGCACCAGCGAGGCAAACGGCGCCGGGGGAGGAGACAGGCGAGAGGGTCAGGCAAACGCGTGAGTTTGGAAATCGTGGAGATTGTCAGACTAGGAGAGTGGAGATGCCGACGTTTGACGGCGAAAATCCCGATGGATGGATCTTTAGGGCTGAGAGGTATTTCACGATAAACGGACTATCGGAGAACGAAAGATTGGACGTAGCAGTTGTCAGTCTTGATGGGGAGGCCTTGGCTTGGTTCCAATGGGAGGATGGCCGTCGGATGATTCGGAACTGGGCGGAATTGAAGGTGATGATACTGGAGAGGTTTCGTCCAACGCAGGAGGGAAGTTTGTGTGAGAAGCTGTTGTCGTTACGACAAGACACGTCGGTGAGGGAGAACCGGCGGAAATTCGAGGTCCTAGCAGCTCCGTTGAAGGAAATCTCCGAGCAGGTTCTGGAGAGTTCTTTCGTTAATGGCTTGAAACTGGAGGTGCGAGCAGAGATTAGGTTGATGAATCCCATGGGGCTGGGCAGAATTATGGAGGTAGCCCAGAGGGTGGAAGAACGTAACCTGTTGGTACGCGGCCCAAAAGCCCAAGGCCTGCAATACTCAAATTGGGGGAAAAGTAGTCCGTATAATGAATTTAAGGGGGGACCAACATCCTCTAGTGCGGGAATCCGTTTCAATGGAGCACCGACTGAAAAAGGGAAAGTTCTGGAGGAAAGGAAGGGGAGTGGCACGGGAACGGCGCCGCTTAGGTGGATGACCGACGCCGAGTTGCAAGCTAAGAGAGAAAAAGGGCTGTGCTACCGGTGTGATGGAAAATACTTCTTTGGCCACCGCTGCCCGAACCGGGAGTTGCAGGTCTTGATCGTCCGGGAAGAGGAAGAACAAGTTGATGTAGAGGAAGATAAAGATGAGGCGGTCGACGAGGCAGAGACGGTGGAATTGTCTCTTAATTCAGTGGTCGGGTTAACTGCTCCCAAGACCATGAAACTCAGGGCGTTTCTCCAAGGGTGCGAGGTAATTGTCTTAATAGATAGTGGTGCGACCCACAATTTTATTTCGTGCGAATTGGTTCAGAAAGTAAAATTACTAGTTGACAAAACAGGGGGTTATGGGGTAGTGATGGGAACCGGTCTGGCCGTGAGAGGAGAAGGAATTTGCCGAGGGGTGAGGGTTTCCATGCAGGAGATTGAGATAGTGGAAAATTTTTTACCTTTAGAGCTTGGAAGTTCGGATTTGATATTAGGTATTCAATGGTTGGAAACGTTAGGGGTGGTGTTTGTGAATTGGAAAACTTTATTGATGAAATTAAGTTTGGGAAGGAGGCAGGTCACATTAAAAGGAGATCCGGGTATGAATAAGTCACCGGTAACACTCAAGGCATTACTGCAAGCCTTGAGGCACGAGGGGCAGGGGGTATGGGTTGAGTTAGGGGCTCTGGAAATGGAGAGGACAGCCACGTAGGTGGATGTTCCTTTAGAATTACAAGGTGTGCTGAGTAGTTTTAGTGAGGTCTTTGAGATGCCAGAAGGGCTGCCACCGGCCAGAACCAAGGACCATGCAATTGTCTTGAAAGAGGGTACCTCACCAATAAGTGTTAGACCATACCGATACCCTCACGTCCAGAAAACGGAAATTGAGAAATTGGTTGGGGAAATGTTAGCGGCGGGTATCATTCAACCAAGTGTTAGTCCATATTCTAGTCCGGTACTGTTAGTTAAAAAAAAGACGGTAGTTGGAGGTTTTGTGTGGATTACCGCGCTCTGAATAGGGAGACAGTCCCCGATCGTTTTCTGATTCTGGTGATAGAGGAACTGTTGGATGAGTTGCATGGTGCAACAGTTTTTTCCAAGATCAACCTAAAATCGGGTTATCATCAGATTCGAATGAAGGCCGAGGACGTACCAAAGACGGCATTCCGTACACATGAAGGGCATTACGAATTCCTTGTTATGCCTTTGGTCTTACGAATGCTCCGGCGACCTTTCAATCGCTAATGAATGACGTCCTCCGCGCTTTTCTCTGCAAGTTCGTACTTGTCTTTTTTGATGACATACTCATTTACAGCCATTCTTTGGAGGAGCATGTAGCCCATCTTGGCAAGGTATTGTCTGTGTTGCAGCAACACCAATTGTACGCCAACGCCAAGAAATGTAGTTTCGGACAGCGGTCGATTGAGTACCTTGGCCATATAGTGTCCGCTGAGGGTGTTTCGGCTGATCTGGTTAAGGTAGAAGCCATGGTAAGTTGGCCCCCACTTGCCGATTTGAAGGAGTTAAGGGGATTTCTTGGGTTGATGGGTTATTACCGGAAGTTAGTGGCGGGCTATAGTCAAATTGCGGGGCCATTAATTAACTTGCTCCGGAAGGACAATTTCCGGTGGGATGCGGAGGCGTTGCAGGCCTTTGAGGGGCTGAAACTAGCCATGACGCGTGTACCGGTTCTAGCGCTGCCGGATTTCACAAAGCCTTTTGTCCTTGAGTCGGATGTGTCGGGGTTTGGAGTGGAGCGGTTTTGATGCAGGAACATCGGCCTATTGCTTATTTCAGCCAGGTTTTATCGGCTCAAGCACAGACCAAATCCGTTTATGAAAGGGAATTGATGGCTATCGTTTTGGCCGTACAAAAGTGGCGGCCGTACCTCTTGGGGCATCATTTTCTGATTAGGACGGATCAACGTAGCCTTAAATACTTGTTGGAGCAACGCCTAGTTAGCATGGAACATCAAAAGTGGCTAACCAAGTTGTTGGGGTATAATTTCGAGATTCAGTACCTGCCGGGAGTGGAGAATCGAGCAGCGGATGCCTTCTCGCGATTAGGGGCGGGTCCAGCAATAGTGGCGGGTCCAGCAATGGCCACTTTAGTGGCGTCCACTTTTGTAGATACCGAGGAACTCCATCAACAAGTGTTGCAAGATGAACGATTGGCAAAAATTTGGGCAGGTTTACCTCTTAATCCGGCAGCCTATCCCGGGTACTCTATCCGACAAGGCCGGTTGTGGTATAAGGGAAGGATGGTGGTGGCGCGTACTTCTCCTGTTGTACATCGATTATTGCATTCTTACCATAATGGGGTGTTTGGTGGCCATTCGGGGGGTTTGAAGACCTATTGCCGCCTGGCGGCCGATTGGTTTTGGTTGGGAATGAAGCGGGATGTGACTGCGTATGTGAGCCGTTGTGAGGTATGTCAGCGGTGTAAGGCATCTACGCTGGCACCCGGCGGGTTGTTGCAGCCCTTGGCCATTCCGGAACAAGTGTGGGAAGATGTATCTATGGATTTTATTGAGGGACTTCCTCGTTCGGAGGGCTATGACACTATTTTGGTGGTGGTTGACCGTTTGAGCAAATATGGCCATTTTATGGCCCTGAGACATCCTTTTTCCGCTGAGAAAGTGGCTATGTTATTTGTCCGGGAGGTTGTGCGGTTGCATGGTGTTCCCCGCACCATTGTCTCGGATCGGGACCGTATCTTTCTTAGCCGCTTCTAGACGGATTTGCATAAGCAAATGGGAACTGCCCTTGCGTGTAGTACGGCTTATCACCCACAGACCGAGGTGGTTAATCGGTGTGTGGAATCCTATTTGCGGTGTTTCACCTCTAATAAGCTGGGGCAGTGGCATAAATGGTTGGCCTGGTCCGAGTATTGGTACAATACTTTTTTTGACACTGCCACCCGGATGACTCCGTTTCAGGCGGTTTATGGCCGTTTTCCCCCACCCTTGCTGCGGTACAGTGTGGGGGTGTCGCCGGTGGATTCGGTGGAGCGTCAGCTGCAGGATCGGGATGCTATGTTGGACTTACTCAAGTTCCACCTTCTTCGTGCTCAGTAGAAAATGAAGGCGGTAGCGGATGGTAAGCGACGTGACGTGGAATTTGCTGTGGGAGACCTCGTTTACATCAAACTTCGTCCTTACCGTCAAGTTTCCTTGGCTCGCCACCAGAATGAGAAGTTGAGTCCCCGTTTCTATGGGCCTTTTCGGATTACACAACGTGTGGGATCCGTCGCTTATTGTTTGGAGTTGCCGGAGTCGGCTACCATTCACTTAGTATTTCATGTTTCCCAGTTGCGTAAGGTAGTGGGTCAGGGACAGGCTATTTCTTCTCTGCCGGCCCAGCTGACTAGTGATCTGGAGCTGTGTGCGGAGCCAGCTGAGCTGTTGGGGGTGCGCCAAATAGTACACGGCGGCCGCACTAACTTGGAGGTGTTGATACGTTGGGCTCACCTGCCGGCTCATGAGGATACTTGGGACGTATGCCGCCATTGATACACAGTTTCCTCATTTTCACCTTGAGGACAAGGTGCGTCTTTCGGGCGGGGGTAATGATAAGCCTCCTATATGTTATACGTATGCTCGAAGGAAGCACAAGCACCTCCATGTGGCAAATCCGGAAGCTGAGGGAGGAATTGAAGAAGGAGGTGTTGGACGAGTGCATGTGGCTGAGTCAGCAATTGGTTAGTTGTTAGTTACTCCTAGGGAAGGGGGAGAGAATAAGAGATAGTACTATAAATAGAACACAGGGTAGAATAAGTGGGGGGTCTGAATTCTATTGTAACTTCCGTAAGGAGTGAAATTGGGAGAGAAAGGGATCTCTCGAATATCCCCATATATGTTTTGTATTCGACTTCCGCCATTAATCAAACAAGCTTTCTGCCAGTAAACTACTGTTTCCTGCTATAATTCTCTGTTCTGTGACTTGGAGCATAACAGTGAGGGCTCTACATTGGTTTCTTTCTTCTCAGCAGTTTCCTGATGTATCTAAAGTTTCATACATAAAGAATAGCCCACGAAGAAGAAAAACTCTATCCTGATTAGAGTGTACCAAAAACTCAATGTTTTATGCCCAATCTATATACAGGTGCAGCAGCTAAACATTGTGTGTTTTGTTTTGAAGCATTTATCCTTTAGTTGTGCATTTGTTGAACTTCAACATTAGAAACTATTTTTTTTCCCCAACAGATGTTCTCGCGGAGGATTCTATGATACGGTAAGAAAAGCCCCTAATACTGCACAATTCCTAATATTCGAATCATATTAAACTTGTATCTGAATAAAAATAATATATACGAATAGTCGAATTTAATATAATTGTGTAGAATTGTGCAGTGCCGATAGGGTATTTTTTTCATACCCTACCAAACAGTTCTCTTATTCTCATACTTGGTCATTATCAACTGTCTGTACATCACTGCTCATCTCAGAGCCGGAGGCATGACAAACAACAACCGAGGCCAGTCTTTGTGCCTTGCCAGCTTCTTCATCCCAGTTGATCCTGAAAACAAAGACCAGCAACAAAACTAGACAAGTAGCAACGCCTATCAATATCCCTATCAATAACCCACCAAGCCCAAGCGCAACCTTAAAGGCAAAAACCACCCCTAAAGGCAAAGCCAAGAGATAAAACCCACTAAGATTTGCATACATAGCCAGCAATGGCCTAGCTGTTCCCCTAACAATTCCTCCACAAACTGTTAAAGGGAAATTCATAATTTCCACCAAAGCCATCAACAACATCGTCTTCTTGACCCCTCTTATAATCCCCTTGTTATGGCTAAACAAAGCCCCCCAACTTCCCCTGGCTGCAACCATCAACAAGCTACCTATGAAGCCTAAGATCACACTCGCTGCAAGAGACACATAGGTTGCATGATGGGCAGGGCCTGCTCTGTTCGCGCCTAGCTCGTTTGACACGCGGGTTGACGCACAAGTAGAGAGGGAAAGCATGACAGAGTAAAGCAGATAATCAAAGTTTAGCACAATGGTTATGACCCCAACTGCTTGTTTGGGATTCTCAAGCCTTCCTGTTAGAAGGACTAGGATCTCATAACACCACCACTCAAGGCAGGTTGTGAGGCAACATGGCCCTGAAAGCTTGAGAAGCTTTTTCCAATCTCCATATCCTTGGTCCCACCACCCACCTTCTTTCCATTTTCCTTCCTTTCTGTGTTCCACTACAAAGATATATATGGCTAGTAGAATCACAACTATGAGATCACTGATCCAAAAGGCCATGGAAACCCCCTCAAGACCCTTTGCTTTGGAGAGAAAAATGTTGATAGGGACATGAGAAGCAAGTGCAAGAGCTGAACCGAGCATGATAGGAACTGTTATGCTTTGCGAGCTCAAGTATGCCTTGAGAGGACAGAGAAATGAGGTGACTACTAAGTTAGGCAGGAGATAGAAGAGGTACTTTTTCGCGACGATTGCAATGTCTTCTTGTTGGCCGAAATGGATGAGGATTTTGTCAACATTGAGCCACAAGAAAGAAATAGGAATTGTCACTATCAGCAACAAAAGGGTTACCATGAGAAGGGTCTTGTGGAGAAGCTTGACGTTTTTAGCTCCGCAAGCTTGGCCACATATCGGTTCCATGGCGCCACATAGCCCGTTCAAGACGGAGAAGCCTGTGACATTAGCAAAAGTGAAGCCAAGCGCGCCGCCTGCAAGCTGGAGCTCCCCTAGCCGGCCAAGAAATGCTGTTGTGATGGCTGTCCTTATGAACCACGTCAAGTTCATGGCCACCAATGGAACAGTTATTCTTTGTTGAGTTTTTAGCTCTGATATCATATTCTTGAAGAAATTTTCAGGCCATTTTTGAGTACTAGACGTTGTTTTGCTTTGCTTCTCTTGCATGTTTGGTGTTTCAGACATGCTGGGTTTCTTTCAAATAAGGATTTTTCGCCGAATGAACGGTTGAAAAAAGGCTTTTTTTATGCAATGCAAGGTTGATTGTGTATGAGGAGTGCAAGAATCTCGTGACTTGTGTCAGCAAATTGCTTACAAGAAGCAAATTCGAAAGGACTTAATAATATAAACTGCCAATTGTGAAGAGAGATAGTGGTAGTGGTTGATTTATAGTGCGTGATGAGAGTGAGAAAGCTTGCTCATATATATATATATATATATATGTCACACTTGGAATCACTTTGAGATTTTTGTGTCCTTTTTTTTCCCTGAAAAGAGACGAAAAGAAAAATACTTGAAACAAAGCAGGTGGGAAAAGAATTTAATGTAAAAAAAAAAAAAAAAAGCAATTAAGTAGATACTTAATTCTCAAGTAGCTTTTATTTACTAGTTACATTTTTAATGGGAAGTGGCTTTTAGTTAGAAGCATATAATTTAGCTATGGCAGTGGATAAGTTTGCGTAATCCACATACCTCGAAACTTTAATGTGGATATAATTTTTAGGAATTTTTGTGGTGGAGGCAATCATATCATTTAATTATGCAGTGTTTATGAAGAAAACATAATCGGTGTTATTTAAACAATCTTCTCAGAGTATCCAATCACTATAATATATGTCCTGTCTAAATCATATAGTTACACTGTTACAGTTAATAATCACAGAGTGTTTAGTATCAGTTCCGTTTTCATTTTTCATGTTTTCTGAGACAAAAAAGCAGAGATTGAAGAGGAAAACATGTTTGGAGAAAAAAACTGAAAAAAATGAAAACAAAAACGGATTTCAGTTTAGTGTAAAATGATTTAAAAACTGAAAATGAATTTAAATCGTTTTTTATTTTTAGTTTTGGGTGGATGCCTTTTTTTTTGACAAGTAGGTGTGGGCTTAAATGAACTAACGAAATAGTCTTAAATTAAAAATAAAAATTGTATAACCAAACAGAGTTTCGGTTTTTTCTTATACTAAAAACAATCTCTTAGTAAAACTACCAAACGCATTTTCTAAAACGATTTATGTCTGAGATCACAAACGTTTTCATTTTCAATTTCATACAAAAAAAAATAGAATTATTTTAAAATTAATTTCAAATGCACTCATAATATCCTTTTTTATAGGTATTTTGCTTAGGCTTCTAGAATTTATTTTGGCCCCATGGTAAAGCAAAAGAGGCCTTATCCTTATCTGCCTAGCTATGCCTATCAGTCAAGTAAAAAATAATTGATCACATAATATCAATACTGTATCAACTTAAGTTCAATCAGTGACAAATTAATCAAAACTTACATTTTTTTTTAAGCTGGTCCAATGAATATTTTGTTATGTGCTATATTTGTTCTGTTGCATCAATTTGTGGCAAAGTCAATATTTCGTCTTTCATGAATTCTTTTTGTTGACAACCTTGAGATCTCGTCACAAATTAAGCTAAATTTTTTTTGACGAGTTTAGCATATTGATCAGTTCAGAAGAATCACGTTCCAAACAAAATTTAGAAGATCTCTAAAACAAAGAAGTCGGTTTATAGATACCCCTATGCAGTGACCATATACACAAATATTCTGATATGGTTCCAATAACATTATGCCCTTGCAAAAAGGAAAAAAAAAATTCTGCAATACTCTTTGTTATATATATGAAAAAGAAATTTTAAAGCAAAGAAAAGAAGAAAGGAAGACGATCAAATAATTCTGTGGGTCCTCCATGGCCTTTAAGGCTAATGCCTCCATGATTCTGATCTATGAGGAATAAATAGAGGCGGCTCGATTGAAGGACCCCATCTTGAAGCTTTTCTCGTTTTCCAAAGTTTTTATTGAGGAACTTTTTTTTTTTTCCTTACATTCAAAGATTATTGAATAAAATTGAAAGAAAATTGTTTTCTCAGTTTTGAATTTTTATTCAATATTTAATGGGTGTGGTTGCAATGGTTATTCTAAAATTTATTTATCTGTAGGGATTATTGTTTTAATCGCGTGATATTAATTACTACTGTAGTTATAAATTGGATAATTGATTAAAAATATATATAATAATTAATGAGATTAAATTCTTATCACGTTATATTAATACGTTTGATGAGTAATGGACTACGTAGCTAGGAAGCATGTACACGGCAAAGATGTGTATTGAAAAGTTGTCCATTAGTTGCCAAATTAACCGTACACCATTTTTCTTAGTCATGTTAATTGACTTATTTTGTTCACACAAAGAATTCAAAGTGATATGGACTTATAGAATGAATTTTTTTCTTAGTCATGTATTGTTATAAACGGAGTCAATAAATGCATGACTATTTCCTCACATTTCAGTTTATGATGGAAAATTACCAAGGGAACAAAGAAACCATAATGCAACAAAAGTCTTCTTCTTGCCATATTAGTCATTTTCATTTTGTCCTAAAAAAATGGCAAAGTATAAATTCAAATAAGGGAGATAAACAAAAATAGACCTCGAAGTCACTATTTCTGTCCTGGAAATAACTGTAGTGTAAAATCAAAAACTTAAAAAACCAAAAGTCATACACTAAATTTTTTTTACTTTATAAAAGAAGTGAATTATGCATGATAAAAGTACCCAAAACAAAAATACAGAGACAGACATGGACATGGACCAATAGAACACCATTACTTGTTTCTCCCTTTCAATTGTTCTTCTTTATTGTAAAGGATTGTATATATATCTTTTCTAAATTTTTTTAACACTTTGCTTTCCAACTTGTTCCCCATTAATAAAAACTGCACATCTGCCTCAATTCTAAAATATAATCAGCATTGTTGTCCATTTCATGTATTTCTTTCTTGTAGGGCACTAACTATATCATCTATTTACGGGCCTCTTTCTTTCTTTCTTTTTTTTAAAAATAATAAAATCATTAAAAAAATATATATATTTTGTTAGTTTACCAAGCCTAACAATAGTTTTATACTTTAATACTCCTCCTCACGTGTGGGCTGGACAATGGGCAATCGTGTGAGTAAATTAATTGAAAAACCCAACACGTGAATATTTAAGCCTGAGATATATTAAAGACCCAACACGTGATGACAATTTAAATGAGGATAAATAGTGCAATTACGGGGGTTTGAACTCAGGACCTCCCGCTTTGATATCATGTTAGTTTACCAATCCATCCCAAAAGCTTAAACTAATAGGATGTAGGTCAACAATAATTTTATACTTTAACATATATATATATATATATATATTAACTAGCGAAGAAAAAAGCTCAATAGTTTGGACTATAGCTCAATAACTAGTGCATTTAAGGCACGAGACCACAAGAGCAGATTGGTAAATTCTTTAGTGGGCGTCTATTTTACATAGATTCTGATTGAAAATGCTATATACTTGTTTGATATGAAACCCGATGAGATTCTGTAGTGTTGCTCATCCCTTTATTCAAGGTGATGTATGGTTGATGGATAGGAATAAATAAAAGAAAACATATATCTTCTAGACTAAAAATTATAATTTCCGGCCAAAGAATTTTATTATATATTCAATTGTATATGAAGTATTTTAATTGTAACATTCTTAGGAATATAGTATGTACTATGAATCACAGGGGAAGAAAAAGATAAAAGATGTAGAAAAAAAGTTGCAACATTAGCAGAAGTATAACCTAGATAGATGCCTATTTAAGATGAGAATAATCTTTTATTATATTGGTTTTAATTTTATAATATTATACCCTTTACAAATTATTCACCGATTTACAAATAAGAGGTCTTAGGTTTAAGTCCTATAAAAAAATGTTTTAAGTGATTTTCAGCCTTTTAAACTACCGATTCAATGTTTATTACAGATCGATAGAATTGATGTAAATGTTCATTTTTTTTTTCTTCTGGTTGTTGACACTTTTGGTCATACCGAAAAGAATAATTACGATTGGTCGTCTCTTTTATTTTTATTCACCAAAAGAAAAAAGAATAATGGGCAAAGATATATGTATGTATCACAAAAAGTATGTATCTAAGAGAGAAGCCCTTTTTGTGAAAGTGGTAGTAATTGGTGACAAAAAAGATTGGGGAAATGAAGGATAAGTCCATTGAAGATTCACTCTTATCTAGCTAATCATTCACCAAATTGGTTTAGCTTCCACAAAGCCATCGCTTTCAATGTAGCGTAATTTTCAGTCATTGATCTTTACACTTTAAAAACCATGACAAACCCCCTTAGCCACAAATTATTATATATCACTCTCAATTCAAGAATGCCAATCAATTTTCCAATTTAAATCAACTTTAACTAAATTAAAATCCATAAAGACTCGTTTAGCATAACTTTATTTTTGCTTTTAGCCAATTAAAGAAGAAAGTAGACTTTTCAGTAAGTCTTGAAACTAAGAGCTTAATGAGTTAAAAATGATTTATAAATTTTCTAATAAGCAATAAAAGTATTGGAATGAAATATATTATGCCTTAATAAAACTCTAGTATAAGTTTTAAAGTCTATTCAGAAGTATTTTTTTTGAAAGCTTCATTTTGTGGTTTTAATTGGAAGTTCCTTTAAAAATTTAAAACATTTATGACAAATCATCCAAATACTTTCAAAAATAGCTTTTAATTTAAGGTTGGAAAGCAAATCCCAAACAGGAAATCCATAACTTTGCTTTAAAAGATTTTTTGTTAGTCTCATGTAGATACAGGTGGTGAAATTTAGTGAGTCGAAAAAATATTTCCTGAATTTTGAAAAATGAAATGCATAAACCTTTAAATTTTGAAAGTTGTGGCTCCATCTCATGAACAAAGCTTACGTAAAAGATGATAATGATTAAGAACTAAAAAAAAAAAAAACAATGGATTCACCGCTGGCCACTTATTGGGACGAAATGATCATATCCCCATGATTAAAGAATTAATGGTCAAATTAACACTTATAATTTCTTCTGCCATTGGACTGATTTAGTGACTCACACTAATTAGTACAACTAATTAACAAATGGAGTGTGATTACTCAACAATATGCCTCTATTTTTCTACCACACCTTCATTCACATGCTTATTAGTTTGGCAAAGTACAAACATAGAAGAGAATACTTACCATATGTGTGAACGAATTTTGACAATGAACAAAACGATTACATTTCGTGGAATACGAAACGACGATAGTTTGACTTCGAGGTTTTTATTTTTATTTTTTTTCCCAAATTTTGAGTCCAATTAAAAAGAGTATCTTGTTGTTTATCGTTTGATCAAAAATTTTTTTTTTTGACACAAACACAGTGACCCCGTTCACTTCACCAATTCGAGTTTAGAATTTGAGTTTTGTTACAGTAAAAAGTTTTTAGAAACAGTCACATTTAACTTTTTTGCTACAGTAAAAAGTTATAACATAAAATCATATTTTAACTCAAATTACAAACTCGAATCAGCGAAGTGAACGGATATATAATCAATTTGTTCAAAGGAAATCGTATCAATGTGATCACCTCGCTGGAATCTACATAGCAAGAAGAGAGAAGCTATCTCAGATAAAAACAAAGTCAAATCATTGCCATTTTTTTTTTCCACTTTCCAATCTTACTATTCTTGCATGCCTAGCTTAATTAAGTCGCTTAATCCAAACTATTAACTGGTGATAATGCTTCTTAAACAAATGAAATATAAGAGAGTGATTATATTAGTGGAAGAATTTTATATGTAGTTGTTATTGTATTTTTACATCACTAGTTCATACATATCGAATCATTTGTAGATCCAAATGATCACCAAATATTGTACTGAAAATCTGAAAAGAGCAGTGAATTTGTAGTATATACATGACAAAAGAGGTTGATAAGGACATATTGAAGGACTAGCAGGTTTTCTGAAGAAGCCCGAGGAGCTAGTAGTACGTTAGATATTCCACTAAGTGGATGCAAAATGATTAGTACTGACCCAAGTCTAAGACATATATGAATGATTATAACAAATTTAAATTTCATTAATTTTACTGATTTAAATTTAAAATTTAAAATTTATTATAATAAAAAATTCTTAAAAATAATAACATTTAATTTTTTTATTATAATAAAAAATTTTCACATAAAATTATATATTAATTTAAATTAAAAATTAAAATAAATAAATTAAACGGACCTTACTCGGTTAGTTTTTTTATAATGGGATCAAAGGTGTACCTCTTTGCTGTCCGCATAATGAAAGTTTGTGCTTGGTGACTAGCAGACGTACGGGTTCCAAATAAATGAATCAATCAATCATGTATATACATATAAATAAATAGATAAAGTAATAATTGGCTTTCTTTGTGAGATCTTTTAAAAAATCTATCCGTAAAATACTCTTTTTGCTCTGTTAAATTATTTTTTCAGCGGTTAAATTTATAAAAAAAATAATTTTATATTATATGTTGTAAATTTTTAAGACGAATATATATAAATTTAATTATTAAAAATTTAATTTAATAATTAAAATATAATATTTTATCAACAATTTTTTTTAAAAGGTCTCAAGACCACCACAATATTAAACATTCTCACGGTTTTAGATACAAAAAAATTCTAACGACTCGTTAGGCTCAAAAAGTGGGCCTCACTCCTGGGGCTCACACGGATCTCACCAGGTGGGATATTCTACTCATTGATTCTGATAAAAATAAATTCCCATTAGATGTTTTAGCATTTTTTATACACCTATACATGTCGGCACATACAACGCGACACCTATAACAAAGAGAAAATAATGTAATATGACACTAGATCTATATAGCTTTACATTTACGTTATTTTTGATGATTTAAAAAATACTCTCTAAAAAATACCCGCCCATCTTTGTCGAGAAAAAAAAAATCTCAAAATATTTTTTGGTGAATTGAATAACATAAATGTAAGTTTATGGTATTGATTGATATAAATATAAAAATTACATCTTTTGAATGGTGTTTTTATACTTTTTTTTTCCCCAAAATAAAGGCATAACAAACATTATATTAATCGAAGGTAATGTTTTGTACAACTCAAGAGTCTCATTTCAAGTCTTATTTAAATTAGAAAAATACTAGCATCATTTTTTTTTTATCATTTTCTTTATCACTCTCTATATTCAGTATTGTTTGATACGTGAAATTCAATAGATTTTAACACACAGTGCCAATTATAGGAATTTCAATGCGTGCAATATCCTTTCTCTAAACACAAATGCCTCGTTTATTTCACCGATTCGAGTTTTCAGTCCTATATTTTTACAGTTAAAAACACTGAGAAAATGTCACATCTAACAATTTTTGTTACAGTTAATAATTTAAAAAAAATATCATATTTTAACTCGAATTAAAAATTTGAATCAGTGAAGCGAAAGAGGATAAAGATTTCACTATATGACATAAAACTTTTCCTGCATTAATGTGGGCAGTCAATAGTAATCGTTGGACATTGATTTTTTAGTTCAAAAAGAGGCAAACGGTAGAAAAACAACACTTATCCAATTTGATAAACGTACCGATTTATAGATTTAATTTACACTCATGCCTAAAGGTTTACCCTGAAATCAATACGACTCATTTTTTTCTTCATATAAAATGGCATATAAAATTGCATGCCATTGTTCTTTATAAATACCCAATTTTTTTAGTCACAAAAGAAGTCATTTCAAGATATTATGGCGGTGGTAGACCAAGATATTACTATCTCTCTCTCTCTCTCTCTCTTGTTGATTCGTTGGTCATTAATTCCAGGTAATGACGGAGAAATTACAACTTATTATCTGCTTCTTGGAATTTTATTATTTTCTTGGTTGAAGATGGATCAAAGGATGTTCTGCTGAGATTTTAATTTGGTGCAAAAGTTAATAAATTCATGCAAACACAAGCTTGTCTGCAGATATGCAAATATTTCACAATGAATCTGCACCACATTGGCTTGTTTCTTGCCGGCAGTTTCCTGTTTCATGAAAGTTGCATAAATAAACAAGAGCTAATAATGAGAAGGAAAAACTCTCGCCTAAGTAGGGAGGACCAAAACCTCATTTGCTTTGTCGCTAATGTATTAATTTAACACTCACTGTTTTGTTTTGAAATCTCATTGAGGATTCTCTGATAGGGAAAAAAATACAGTTCCCACTATTCAAATCACATCAGAATGGTATCACAATAAAAATTACCAATACGAATTCAACAAAATCCGAAAATTTTTTGATGGCCTAGAACCAATAGGGCGCTTTTTCATGATCTACCAAAGAATTCTCTTATTCTTGTACTTGGTCATTATCAACTGTTTCTACAGTTTTGTGATCCTCATTCCCCATCATTACTCACCCGACATTTCAGAGCCAGAGGCATGAGGAACGTTAACCGAGGCAAGTATTTGTGCTTTACCGGCTTCTTTATCCCATTTGATCCTGAAAACAAACACCAACAACAGAACTAGACAAGCAGCAACCCCTATTAATAACCCTGTCAATAATCCACCAAGCCCAAACCCAAGCTTAAAGGCAAAAACCACCCCTAAAGGCAAAGCAAGGAGATAAAACGCCCCAAAATTTGCATACATAGTCAGCCATGGCCTAGCTGTTCCCCTAACAATTCCTCCACAAACTGTTAAAGGGAAATTCATCATTTCAATCAAAGCCATCAACAACAACATCTTCTTCACGCCTCTTATAATCCCCTTGTCATGGCTGAACAAAGCCCCCCAACTTCCTCTGGCTGCAACCATCAACAAGCCACCTATGAAGCCTAGGATCAGACTCACTACAAGAGACACATAGGCTGCGTAACGGGCAGGCCCCAATCTATTCGCGCCTAGCTCGTTCGACACACGGATTGATGCACAAGAAGAGAGGGAAATGATGACAGAGTAGAGAAGATAGTCAAAGTTTTGCACAATGACTATGATCCCAACTGCTTGTTTGGGGTTATGAAGCCTCCCTGATAGAAGGACTAGGATCTCAGAACACCACCACTCAAGGCAGGTTGTGAGGCAACATGCTCCTGAAAGCTTGAGAAGCTTCTTCCAATCTTCATATCCTTGGTCCCACCATCCACCTTGTTTCCATTTCCCATCCTTTTTGTGTTCCACCACAAACACATATGGGGCTAGTATAATCACAATTATGAGATTGCTGATCCAAGCAGCCATGGAAACCCCCTCAAGACCCTTGGCTTTGGAGAGAAAGATGTTGATGGGGACATGGCAAGCAAGCGCAAGAGCTGAGCTGAGCATGATAGGAGCTGTAATGCTTTGTGAGCTCAAGTATGTCTTGAGAGGATATTGTAAAGAGGCGACTACTAAGTTAGGACGGAGATAGAAGAGGTACTTTTTCGCGACGATTGCAATGTCTTCTTGTTGGCCAAAATGGATGAGGATTTTGTCAACGTTGAGCCACAAGAAAGAAATAGGAATTGACACTAGCAGCAGCAAAAGGGTTACCATGAGAAGGGTCTTGTGGAGGAGCTTGACGTTTTTAGCTCCACGAGCTTGGCCACATATGGGTTCCATGGCGCCACATAGCCCGCTCAAGAAGGAGAAGCCTGTGACATTAGCGAAAGTGAAGGCAAGCGCGCCGCCTGCCAGCTGAAGCTCTCCTAGCCGGCCTAGAAATGCTGTTGAGATGGCTATTCTTATGAACCATGTCAAGTTCATGAAAGCCAATGGAAAGGTTAATCTTTGTTGAGATTTTAGCTCTCTTATCATTTTATCGGGCCATTTTCGAGTATTAGATGGTGTTGTCGTTTGGTTCTCTTGCAAGTTTGATGTTTCTGGCATGGTGGGTTTGTAGTGAACTGTTGAAAAAGGCTTGTTTTATGGATCTCTTGACTTGCGAGGATAGTTTTTCTTTAGAAGAAGCAAATTGGAAAGGACTTGAGAATTTTTAACGGCCAATTGTGGATCAGAAGAGAGGGAGTGACGGGGTGGATTTGTAGTGAGTGATGAGAGTGAGAAAGGCATTGGTTATTGCTCAGTGACGGCATATATCATCCTTGTAACTACTTTAAGATTATTGTTTGTGTTTGTTTCCGTTTCACTTTTTCCTGAAAAGATATCATAAGAAATGCTTTAGCAAAGCCAAAAAGTCTTATCCTTATCTGCCAAGCTTTGCCTATCACTCAAGTCAAAAAATAAATAAAGCTAGAATCAGCTTTATGATGGCAAATTGCCCGTGAAATTTTAATCATAACTTGCAAAAACATTTTTCTTTCCTTTTTTTTCTTTAAACCGGCCTTGTATTTTGTCATGTGCTGAATTTATTCTCTATGCCAACTATTTGTTCCGAAGTCAATATATTTGGTCACGAATTTAAGCGAAAGAATTTTGACAAATTTAGTATTTCGAGTTCATAAGACTCACGTCCCAACAAAATTTATTAGAAGAATCCAAAACAAAGAAATCGGTTTAGAGAGACTCCACAATATATTTCTAGTATGGTTCCACCAATATGCCCTTAAAAACAGGAAAAAAGTTCTCCAACAATCTTTATAAAATATATGAGTAAGAAAGAAAAGAAAAGGTAAGATGACCAAATAAACTAAAGGAAAAATCAAAGCTTAAAAAAAAAGGGTACACATCATTAATAATTTTCTACTTTATAAAAGAAGTGAATTATGCATGAAAAAAATTCCCCAAAAAAAAAAAAAAAACAAAGTATAGTGTCAATCATTGACATGGGCCAATTTATATTCATGACATCATTATGTGTTTCTCACTTTATCATTCTTCTTTTCTTATTTTTATCTCTTAATTTGCTTTCCGACTTGTTCCCCATTCTTCTTTTCTAAAATCCAATCAACATTGTCGTCCATTTTCATGTATTTTTATCTTGTAGCTAAGGCACTAAATATGTTATCTATTTATTTTTAGCTCCTTTTTTTTTTAATGTTGTAAACCAGCACACGTATTGATCATCTCCATGTAGAGGTGGAAGTTGCAACACCAAATTCACTAGTTTGGACTTTAGCTCAATCTTGTGCATTTAAGATACAGACCAGGATAGCAGATCAATGAGTTGTTTAGTGGGCATCTATTTTAGGTTGATTCTGATTGAGAATACTAGGGGCCCGTTTGGAATTATTTTTTAGTTGTTTTTAAAAATGTTTCCGTACTTTTTTGAGGCATAAAAATAAAAACAATTTACAAATCGCGTTTGTTTAATAAAAGTTTTGAAAATGAGAATGAAAATAAAAAACAATGAGAATGATTTTTGTAAAGAAAATTAAAAACGATTGAAAGTTATTTTTGCTTTTTCGTTTTAATTTCTAGTACTTATCAATAAAGTTATATTAAATAATTAATAATTAATTACTAATTATATTATATATAAATTAATAACTAATTATTTAGTTAAAGATCAATAGCCAAAAATTAATTATGCAACATATTAACAATAAAACAAGTAATAATAGGTTATTAAATAAATAAAAAATAATTAATATATCAATCATATATTATGTTAATTATAATCTATTAATTAGTAAATAGTTGGTAAATAAAAAATAAATAGTAATTACTCAATTAATAATTAATATTAAATTATAATTATCAATCTGTAATATACTAACCAATAATAATTAATAATTGATAATTAGTAATTAATCATTATAAGAATAATTATACAAAATTAATCATGTGATATATTAAATAATAGATTATTAAATGAAGAATAGTAATTAATTAACTAATTATTTAATTATCTAACTAAAAGTTAATAATTTAAGTAGTAAACGGAATATTAATAAATTTTGTATATACTAATTATTTTTCTTAATACACTAACTAATTAATTATAATCTAATAAATATGAGTACATTACTAACATAGTAATTACTTATAATTAATTACTAATTACTATTTTCAATTATTTAACATATTTATTTATTATATATATAGTTTAATTACTAATGTACTTATTAATAATAATTTATCTATTATTATTATATTATTAATATATTAATTTAAGATTATTAATTATATGTACTCAAAACAAACATAAATGTAACTAAACATGATTTTACTTTTTTATCATACTCAAACTAATATCTTGAAAGACTACTAAACGTAATTTCAGAATCAACTTCAAAATAATTTTCAAAATAATCTCATTTTCATTTTTATACTGAAAATAAAACTATTTTAAAAACATTATCAAACGGGCGTTAGATTTTTTTTTGGGTTTTTTTATAGGGAAAATGCTAGTCATTTGTCACTTACTTGTAAGATATGAAGCCTGGCCAATGAGATTCTATATAGGACCAAAGAAAAAAGTAGCTTTACATTTAAAAAAAAAAATCAAAGCAAAGAACAGAAGAAAGATGGCCAAATAATTATGTGGTCCCCATGCCCATTAAAGCTAATATCTCCATGATTCTGATTTATGAGGAACAAAAAAAAAAAAAAGGCTCAAGGGCCCCCCTCTTGGGGTTTTTTTTTTTTTTTTTTTTTTTTTTTTTTTTTTTTTTTTTTTGATAAATGAGAGGATTGACGTTCATGAAAAATACTTTGAGATTATTTCAAATTTTTTTAGGTTATCGGTTAAATATTCACATCTTCTCATGCTTAATTGTGGTTAAATGTAAACATTTTCCAGCATGTAAGAATTTCTTTAGTCACGCTCAAATAAAATAATTATGATTGATCTGATAATTTTTATTTACTAAGGAAAACTAAATAATGAGGAAAGATATCAATTCAAGTTAAGAATTTTAATTTAAAAGTGAATTTTATGTGAGTAAAAATATTATAATAAAAAACTTAAATTTATGTTTTTATAAGAGAAAACATTATAGTAAAAAGTTTAAATTGTGATTCGTGCTGCAAAAGAAGATGCATATACATCTGGGGGCAAGTCCATCTTTTCTGAGAAAGAATTGAGGTAGAGGCACCTGGACTTCCTACTCTCCACAAAACCATCTCAGGTAATTTTCAGCCATTGATTCTCTCGGCCACCACTTTAAAAACCATGACACCAACAGGCAACAACCAACAAATTATATCACTCTCAATTAATTAAGGGTGCTAATCTGCCAAGTTAAATATCCAAGAACAACAAAACTGATCATTCCGTAGCTCTGTTTCAAAAAATATCTTGTTAGTCTTGATCAAGTGGATACATATTTTGGTGAAATTTAAGTGACTTGAAGAGTCAAAAGCTATTCTAAATACGTGCAGAATATTATCTTTTCAATGAAATTCTAGCTCTGAATTTTTTAAAAAAAATTGTGTTATAGTTTCATTTTATGATGGTATGTTATATAGTTGGTCAGGACTAATATTAAAGCATTTCCCCGTTTTTCTGGATGCATATTAATTACATCTAAGCCTAAAATGAACGAAGACGTCATGTTAAATCTCTGAGATGAAATATATAGTTGGTATACAATAAAGTGTTTCGGAAACGTGCAAGTTCTAGAGAGCAAAGTAGATTGGACTTCGGTAATTGACGGTAGGATGCTTGGGCTTGTAAATTGAATCGTAGAAAAAATAAATACTGAAAAAATGGAGAATTTAGTTTTAAGAGTGTATAAATTTGGACTTTTAATTTTTATTTTTGATAAATATCATTTTGTTAGTATAATTATTTAAATAAAAAAGTTATGAATTAAAAATAAATGATGAAAATTCTGACCCATTCACTTTTAATGGGAATTTGTCAAAATTATCTAAATATTGAGAAAAGGAAACAAATACCCCTTAAAGTGTTTGTGTTTAAAATTTTACTCTATACTATTTTTTAATATCCTTTTTAGTCAAATTATATTAGTCAAAAAAATATTAATCAAGAATAAATAATAAAAATCCACCACGAGTATCCGGTCATCATACTGCCTGGTATTCAACCATAATACTGATATTCGATTAGAAGAGGTAGTTTTTCGCGACGATTGCATTGTGTTCTTGTTGACTGAAACGGATAAGGATTTTGTCAATAGGAATTGACACTAGAAACAACAAAAGGGTTACCATGAGAAGGGTCTTGTGGAGGAGCTTGACGTTTTTAGCTCCATGAGCTTGGCCACATATCGGTTCCATGGCGCCACTTAGCCCGCTCAAGAAGGAGAAGCCTGTGACATTAGCGAAAGTGATGCCAAGACAAATATAATCCTCCACAATAATATTATTCATGTTTAAAAATAACAGTTAGATACGATAAAACGACTGATATTAACAGTAAAAATGATATTTGTATAAATTATTATTCATATTAAAAACGACAGTCGTTTATTGATGTGCATTTTAATATTATTCATATAATTATTAATAATAGATGTGCATGACATTCATTTATTGTCATATGTTTAAAATTGACTTATGATTTTTAAAATAGTAACTGTTAGACTCAATATAAGAGAATTATACTAATTTTTTAACCGTGACACATGTGTGACACGTCCATGGGACTACAATCAGGTTCATATATATGCTTTTCTAATCGTTATGTGTGGGCACATGCTTCAAAAGCTATATATGTACGTAGCTAAGTACCTTCTAGGCTAGGACTTGTAATTTCTGACTAAAAATTTTAGTATATGTTCAATTGTATATGATGTATTTTAATTGTAACTAACTGTACGAGGCTTAAGTTGACTCCTATTTGAGTTATGCATGTTTTTCAATAAATAGTTCTCGAATCAAGTTTAATCTATTAAAGTTTGCTCACACTTAGGGTCTGTTTAGTTCGCTGATTCGAGTTGAGATGTGATTTTATGTGAGAGCTTTTTACTGTTGCAAAAAAGTTAAATGTGACTGTTTCTGAGAGCTTCTAACCGTAGCAAAACTCAAATTCTAAACTCGAATCAGTGAAGTAAACGGAGCCTTAGATGATCTCCAAATTCTAAACTCCCTGAAGCTTTTCATGTTTCTATTAAGATTGTTTCGTATTTTTGGGAAAAAAATAAAAATTACACTGCTTGGTAATTACTGCCGAATAAACTGAAATTGGAAGATGAACCTTTGTCATTT